CTAGTGGCGTCCCATGCTTCGCGTGATGAAATGAGAGTCCCCCACAATCAATTAACAGGACGACCTCATTTTTCCCCATGTCGGACATATGTTCGCATAGCTTCATCAATTATGAACAAAATCTCGGCTGCTGCTTCGTAAATATTGTGATTCGCAGGGTCCCATAAACCTGTCAATTTTGATTTCTTGAATGAGTAACTTTTGGCAAGGTTAATTATTTTGTCAGTTTTACTAATTTGATCCACCACGATAAGATGCCCTCTAGGATCTCTGTGTCTTAACAGCTTCACCTTGCCGATATCCAACATTGTTGAATTTTCTGGTCTAAGGTACTTTTTCCTGAAGGTTTTGTACTTTTCTGTCCTCGCATGGATATAAGTTTGCAACTAGGTTACGAACAAAATATTTTTATTTGTTCCAAAATTATATTTATAATGGGGGTATTCATTACGAGTTCGCATCGTTAGCACAACAGGGTTATACATAGATAATTGAGTTAAGAATGATTAGCGAATTTGTGCAAATTTTACACAAGAAAAACATTTTGCCATTAAAATTATATTTGCAATTCCAACATCTGAATTTTTAATGAATCCCCCGGCCAAACTCGTAGTTTAAAAGACATACACAAAGTGCTGCTGTCTGCACATCGAAATCTTTCGCACGGAGAAATGCGAGCAGAAAATTGTCATCACAAATCCCCTGGAAATGTTTTAGGTTCTCGTGGTCTAAATAGTTAAAAGAATTATATAAATTATCTTTCTGTCTGAAATTAGGTATATCTCTAATTTGATCAAGGAAGTAGAATAAAAAAAATGATTTCTCATCTGAAATTTTAGATTTAAATTTTTCCAATTTTTCGGTCCTATTTTCTGAAAGCATTGTTTTTACTTATAAATAAATATATTTTGTTAAAAAATAAAATTCCACTTTAGCAACAAGATTTTATCCACCTTGGTCTGCAAAACTCGTACCGATTGAAATATGAACATGTGTTCTGTGGAAGAGTGGACTATTTAACACGAGAACCACATAACTGACCAAGACAATTAATTTAATCGTGTAATCACTTACATATTTTATGTCCTCAATTTATATATGTACACAAGTATCGGTAATATACTGACAATGGGAGCGCAAACCATGTTCATCCGGGATTATTTTTTGACCATGTTAGTTTGCAAGAGGAAGTCTTTAGAAACAACATTTGGTTCGGCACTTGGGCAGATGCGCAAAATTCAGCACATTACGGGCGCCACAAGTTCGCAAAAACGCATGATTTTTCATGCACGGTAGAGCGCGAGCCGAAAAATCATGCGTTTTTGCGAAATTGTGGCGCCCATAACGTGCTGAATTTTGCGCATCTGTCCAAGTGCCGAACCAAATGTTGTTTCTAAAGACTTCCTCTTGCAAACTAACATGGTCAAAAAATAATCCCGGATGAACATGGTTTGCGCCTCCATTGTGAGTATTTACATGTCAAACATGATAGAACTCATTAATAAAAATCAATCAACGATATCTTGAATTTGTTCAGGGCATGATCATCTTCATTTTTACATATGTACATATGTGCAGAGAGGCTACATATGTGCAGAGAGGCTATATCAGCGTTTGTTGCAATAAACTAAACCAATGTACAAAAATACAACGAGGAAGTTATCCCAAGGATTTATTAATAACTGAATTTATTTTATTTTTCCTCAAAGAAATATTTATGTTTATGTACATATGCAGATGATAAAAATACTTCGGTATGTGGATATGACGTGACTGATATTTAACCACAGAAATGTTTTAAAAATTTGTAAGGAGCATGACTTTAATTTACTTGCCGAATAAGGATTCTTACGAAGTCAATTCAATAATAATCCCAACTATTCTCAGGAAATGATTTTTCCTAAATAATAAACAAATACTAACCATTTAGATTTCATGAATCAGCATCCAATTATTTTTAAACAAATTCTAAATTCACCCCTATGAACATACATATTGGTCTTTTTCGAACAAGCCTCGGATGTAATGAAGCATTATCTCACTCACAATGCAAGTCTTTTACGTGTACAACTCAGATCTGGTTGGGACCAATTTTATTTTGTTCAGAACAAAAAATAAGCACACCCGTATTTTTTCATTTTTCATAATGCGCTAATTTGAGCGCGCGGCGCGAATTTTAAAACATTTTTCAGCCAAAACCTTGATTTTAAAAAATTTCGCAACTTTTCGAATTTTAGCGCGAATCCAAAAATTCGAAAACATGTCTCTTCAGAATGACTTACTTGACTCATGAAAAATCCAATTGTCTCGAAATTTGGATTTCAACATTTTTTGCCAGTTTTTGAAATTCATTTAAATTATAAATTCTTTCAAATTTTTAATTTTTCAAAAAATAATGCATGTGGATTTTTTTTAAGTCAAGTAAGTCATTCTGAAGAGACATGTTTTCGAATTTTTGGATTCGCGCTAAAATTCGAAAAGTTGCTAAATTTTAAAAAACCGAGGTTTTGGCTGAAAAATGTTTTAAAATTCGCGCCACGCGCTCAAATTAGCGCATTATGAAAAATGAAAAAATACGGGCAGTCTGGTTCAAGTGCCGGGGGTTTGGAACTTAGTACTTGGGAAACGTCACCCAAAAGTTCCAATTCCCTGGACGTTTTAGTTATGCAAGTTACAGGGAAACGGAACCCACTTGTCGCAGGATTTAGCGGGTGCCGATTCCCCGGTACCCTCTTACGCAAAAGTTACGATTCCCCGGAACCCACAATTTTTCTTTAATTTTTCATAAATTGAATAAATTTCCGCACAAAATTTGCATTATCTCAAATTAACCTCTCACAAATGAAGAACATTGGATAAAAAAATTAGAATTTTTTATAGTGGCAGAGGTTCCTAAAATCGCAAATTTCTGACAAATTTGAGGAGCGGCAAGCTCAAAAAGGTCCGCGGAATCGGAACCCAACTATTATTTATATATACAAATTATTTTTGGGTGACGATTCCCCGGACCTTTTTGAGCTTGCCGCTCCTCAAATTTATCAGAAATTTGCGATTTTAGGAACCTCTGCCACTATAAAAAATTCTAATTTTTTTATCCAATGTTCTTCGTTTGTGGGAGGTTAATTTGAGATAATGCAAATTTTGTGCGGAAATTTATTCAATTTATGAAAAATGAAAGCAAAATGTTGGGTTCCGGGGAATCGTAACTTTTGCGTAAGAGGGTACCGGGGAATCGAAGCCCGCTAAATCCTGCGACAAGTGGGTTCCGTTTCCCTGTAACTTGCATAACTAAAAAGTCCAGGGAATTGGAACTTTTGGGTGACGTTTCCCAGGTACTTAGTTCCAATCCCTCGGCATTTGAACCAGACTGACGGGTATGCTTATTTTTTGTGCTGAACAAAATAAAATTGGTCCCAACCAGATCTGAGTTGTACACGTAAAAGACTTGCATTGTCAGATGAAATTTTACACGGAAAAAATTGATTAAAAAAACCGACAGCTTCCTCATAATTTTCCAATCTAATTTTCTAACAACCTGGTACATCAAAAGAGATTGATGCGTGACAAGTCTGACAGACCCTCATTTTTAATGCGATAAGTTCGTCTTACTGCTCAAAAATATAAATTCATTAACGAAAATACTGGAATTTAGCAGCCCGTTAGCTTTTTGAATAATAATTTTTTTTTCACAGAAACATATGCATATCTTTTTGAAAATGATGGTATCATTTTATAGTAAAAACCAATTTTTATTATATTTATAACGGGTTAAACATGTTGCCCAACTTGGTCATAAAATAACTACGCCTCTGTCACAGTTTCTTTTTTAAGGCATCGTTTCTTCTCGCATTCGCCAACCACGTAACAACATGGAACCCCAGCGCCACAAGTCTTGTCCGTTTCGCAGGCTAGTTCTTGGGGGAAGTTGCAGGGTCCCCTTTCTTCTGGATCGGTGGGACAAGAATCACTTTCATCACGTCCCAGTGTTATTCCCGCTGAACCTGAGAAAAAATCAGTAATGTTCTTTACATAATCCTGAAGTCAAAGATTGGTTTTGCTGCTGTGGATAATTTTCGTTTTTTTTACCTTGAAAGGCGACGAGAAAAATTAATGTTACAACAACGAAGCTTGTCATAATTGTGCAGTAAGATTTATATTTTGAAATTTCTAAATAATTTTGGGAATATTTACTTATCTAATGTTTTTGTTTAATGGGTGTGGGTGATTTTAAAGGGTTGCTTATTTTTCATAATTTTATGTATACAATGTACATAGGTCTGTCATTGCCAAACATGTAGATAAATAATTATGCGCAGTAAGTTATAAATTGTTAAATTGATTGGTAGCGGACATCCTGTAACTAAATAAGAGACCATTGTCAATTGTCTTTGAGAAATTAAACAATTTTATTTTTTTGCTCGAATGGTTTTTGGCATTTTTTTAAGTCCTGCTTCTTTTTTTCATTTGCATGTTGGCCGTCGCAAATTATACATATATGGTATGTGTCTATATCATCTCTGCGCATTTAGGACGGGTCCAGGTTGGCTATGCAAATGTTTAAATGGGATTTGAAAAAATTGAATTAAATTTACACATGTGTTATAAATGCACAAAATGAATTATTTATTTAAAGTATATTTAATACTTCCAAGAATAACCTAATACATATGTTCGGAATTTCGTCACGACGAAAATAGGATTCCCCCGAATATATAGTTCTGGATCCATGCAACCTAAGCAATAATCCATTCTTTGTAATGTCTGGTTTATTGTGAAGATATTTTTGGCACAAAAATTGCAAAGGTAGGTTATGCACATATGTATACATACGCTATTGCGAATTGCAAGCAATTTCGCTTTGCATATGTATGTATCTACAAATAAATGACTGACTAATTATGCAATTCAAGTCATTAGCATAATAATACTCAGGTGTACGTCAAGTGCCCGATTTGCATACATATTTATGGATGACTGAATATGTATATAAAGTACCGGAACCACAAACTTATTTAATCGATTGTAAGTTGATCAAAGTGGAAATCGGACATTTGATGTTAAATTACTCGTTGCAAATTGCAAATATTTACACGCGGATTAGACTTATTCATTATTTGCGACGTTACTAATACAATTAATCAAGAAATAAAAAAACGAGTAAAATGGTATCGAGAACTTTGGGCTTGGTCATTTCCATTATCACCGGGGTGATTATTATAGCAACAATTCCTCTCACCATGGGTAAGTCAATTTAAATATTTAAGTACATATACCTTATGTGAAAAGGATATCGTCTAATTGCAGGGATAGTTAACGTGTTGTTAAATTTAGGAAACTTATTTATTCTTTTTCTTCATAGGCCCGCTATTAATGGGAATGCTGATGTAACACAATACTCACGCCATACGCCACAATAGTTGGACGGTCAAAGGTTTTAGATGGAGAAAGAAATTGTGACTTATATACATACATATTTTGTATTATGTTATGTAAGTGTTAGTAAATATAAAAATAAGCTGAATCAGAAATGTTTTTAACTCAAGCAAAAATAAATTATTTTAATTTATGAAAATATTTATTTAATAAAATAATTACTTTAGATTTGACTTAATCACTTATCTTGTACTATAAGTAAGACAATTTCTGACTAAATTGGTTCGTAAAGTTCCACATAGTCCGAATTTATACTCGCCACGTTCGAAACTCCTAAAAGAATGGGGAAGCTATTAAGTATATCTAGGTCGAAATTGGTTATTCTTCCTACCTGAAAGTGCCATAGTCAAGTCGAGTTCACTTTTGAGAATTTCCAACACCTTCGTGACACCTTCCTCCCCAGCGACGCTCAGACCAGCTAACGCCGCTCGCCCCACGAATACCTGAAATTTCAGAAGCTGCATCATTGTCCACATTTTTTTTCAAAATTACGTTTCAAAATTAAATATGTAAACTTGTAATGAATCCACAAATATTTTTGTCTTTGTTTGCAATACCATTTTGGCTCCAAGTGCGATCGCTTTAAAAACATCGGTCCCCAGACTGATTCCACCGTCGAGATAGATTTCCATTCCGCTTGACGCCGTGGCAGACACAACTTCGGACAGTGCATCAATCTGTAACATTGATACATTTGCAAATAATTAAAAGTACCAATTCGTATACTTTTAATTGTTTGTAAATGTATTAGTGTTACAGTTACGGATTAATTATAGAGGTAATTCACGCAGGTCTTGTAAAATCTTGTAAAATCTGTAACTAATATAGGTATAAATATTTGTGGGAAAAATTAACTTGCAAATTTTCGTAAATTTGCTAAGATCAAGGACATTTTTTATATTCTGTAAAAGTTTGTAAAATTATTCTACGAAACTTATGGATTTTATAAGTTACAAATGACTGCGTGAATTTCCTCCATATTTTTATGACTTAAATTTAAATTAGTTTAAATATTAACCGTGGGAATAACCGAGTCCAACTGACGACCACCATGGTTCGACACGATAATGGCATCCACGCCATAGTCCGCTGCAAGCTTGGCGTCCTCACCGGTAAGAATTCCTTTCAAAATGAGTTTCATTTCTGTATGGCTAATAAACAGAAAATTTTTAAGAGGCGACAAACGCATTTTTCATTAAAAAAAAAGTTACTCTCTGATCCATTTAACTACGTCCCAAGTCATGGTGATATCATCTCTCAAGACTTTTAAAGTTTGATTCAATATTGTCCCCGAGTCAGTAGAATTTTGGTTCATGTTTGAATCAAAGTTGGCCAAACTGCATGACATCAATGACATGTCATGTTAAATTAGTTACAAATTATTAAAAATGGAACAGTTCACTCGGATATTTAGATAACCATGTAGATAACCCCGGAGAGTCTGCAAGCTTAGAAATATATGTGTTCTAAATTTCACACACATAAGGAGGATGATTTGTTTAAATACAGCAAATTCTGTAAAATGCAGAGGCCATATTTGCTGAGTCATTTCAAGCTTTTAAAATCTGTAAGTTTTGTAAAATAATTTTTACACCTTTTACAAAACATACATCCATCCGGGATTTATGTAAGTTTACAAAAATTTGTAACCTAGTTTGCTTAGAAATATTTGTAATATTTTCCAAAAGCTTGCATGTTTACAGAATTTATGAATTTTACAATGTTACAAGGCCTGCGTGAATTGCTCCAATTTTATGGAATTTTGCAAAATAATTCGACAAAATGTATTCCAAGTTTAATAGCTAACAAACATCCGACTTAATTAAATGTTTACTGATTGAGCTATAAAGCTACAAACCTTGCATTTTCCGGAAGTTCAAATCCATGTCGTAACTGATCGACTCGCTTCCCAATTATTTGTGCGTCCAAGGTAAGAACGACAGCTTCGTAGCCTGAGTTTTCCGCACGAGTGAGTAGATTGGCATTAAATGTGCTGATTTATTAGGAAAATTATTACTTTTTTTATCTATTTCTAATTTCGACAAAACTATTTCTATGTATTTGCTAACGTGTCATTTTTAAAGTAAAGTTGAAACCATAATCGGGTCTGTGGTGCAGATGCGGCGACCTCTTCGATACTGGTGGTGGCTAAAGTGCTAAGAATGTAGATGGCTCCTGCTCGTCCAGCCCCTTCAAGTCGCATAAGTAATTATGAGAAAATAAAATTTTGAAAAGGTACCGATTAAAAATAGTGATCGAAATTTGTAAAAAAAATCATTTCTATCTACATATACGTACCTGTCGCCACCGCGATTTCTCCGTCTGGATGAAACACTTTCTGCATCGAAGTGGGGGCCACGCCGATCGGTAAACTAGTAAGTTTTCCGAGTATCGACGTGGTCAGGTTTCTTATCGAAACGTCGCGAAGTATCCGTGGTCGAATTACATAACTTTGCAAGTACGAAATTTAATTATACATAATTCTTAATTATTATGTGTATTCACATCACTCAAAAACGTCGCTTCACAACTTTGTGGTTGATGCGTATCGCGAGCGACTTATTTTAAATGAAAATACAGAAACTGAAAATTAACTTGATGACAAGTTTGCAAAAAAACTTTTGCGACTCTAATGAATACCTTTTTGTGTGTCATATTTCGTAAAAAATAAAGATTCTGATTGGTTATCGTGTCGCAACTCTTCGCAAACACTGGAAAGAGGGTAAGCTACATATGTTGCGCAGCTAAGTTTACGGAGTTGACGTGAATACGCGCATTGTCAATAATTTAATAACACTCTAACCGACGGTATGCTCTCTTATTCTGGTCCAGTGTCCAACCGAGGTCTGCCTTCCCTTCGAAATATTCCCACACTCCGGCAGAATTCTTCACCAATTTTGATTTGGCTGCCGTATAAAAATCCTCGATATTGAGAAGCTCCTCGGTTGTGTAAGGTTCTGCAAAATTATTTTTGTTCGTGTGAAATGTTAAAGGTACGACAAAACTGTATAAAATTTGGACTTTTTTATAACTTGATATTTATTTATTGCTTGAAAAACGACCTACGAAAGTTTTTTAAGAAAATTCATTGACTTAATATTGGTTTCAGTGTTGTTTTACCTGGTAAATCTTGCGGCCTGTTGTAATTAACTTTTCCATAGTCAGAAAATGGCCAAATTGCGACAAACATGCCACCAATAATAATCCCAGGTACGAAAACTAATACGAAGATGAGCACGTTTCGATAAGCACAATTCATATTGGGTAAACGAATGATTCTTGCAAAGTTTTATTTGCAATTTTTCTATTAAGTTTGAAAAAATATAACTAACTGTTAGTCAAGTTTTAGCAAAGTTTTATCTCAATTCGTTTGGCATTAATTAAATAAACTGAATCTTACTTGATTTGTATGTATCCGATTTATGAACATGTTTATGTAGATCACGTTAGAATTGAATGTCAATCTCGTTCAATAAATACGTAGTTTTCATTGTATGCATATGAGGAGGATGTGATTTATGTACTCAGAATGAGAAGATGAAATGTGAAATAGATAAATAAAAGGCAGATTGAGATGGTTTCAAGTTCTTTACCGTGTGAGTAAATTGATTTTAACTTTAAGGCAATGCTCTGATCTTAAGAAAAAATAGTAAGAAAATCAATATCACGGCATGAATTTACCTATGAGTTATAAATAAATGTATACATAACGGAATCAGTGTTTCTTTTGTTTGTTTTTTGCAATATCATTTTGATATGTGTACATACATATACTGCATAAAAAGAAGTAAAAATGCATAAAAATTATTGAATAATTTTTATATTTTTCATATTTTCAAAGAATTTTATGTTTCCCTACCCTGACTAATGGGGGGGGGGTAAGATTCAGCTATATAAACTTTTATACTGCAGTATTTCAAACCAGTATACTGGTTTGAAACCTTTTTAAATATTAAAACTTTTGGACAACTGATTAAGTTAAGATTAAAATTAAGGTCTTCGATTCCTAGAAATGGCAAAATAACACGATGTCTGAAGATAATGCTGAATTCCTGAATGCATACATGTACAAATTCATGTCTCCACTTGGAAGCCGACCAGTTTATCTATTCTTTTGGTTTCCAATTTGTAAAAAAAACACACAAATAGAACTTTTGCGTCTTCAATTCATCTATTGTAAAGTGGTCTGACTGGTTTTTTGTTGCTTGAAATGCCCAAGTTATGTCGCGCATGCTGAATTACATGTAATTATTTTCAGACACATATATTAATACAGGTTGGGCTAAAAATGCGAAGTTTTTCCAAGTAAAGTTATACGTCATCGGCTACATGATAAGTAATAAAGAAAGATCTTAACCCGTAATAATTTCTAACTTGTAGAAAATGTTGATTTTCCAGTCTCAGATCTCATATATAAGGCTGGAAGCCTCAAAAATTAAACATCATTTAACGGAAACATATTCATTTACATACATTGTTAACAAAGGACAAAACATGAAAGTCGCAATGTGCACCCTTCTTGTACTCGTCGCATCATTGGTTGCAGGTGATTGAAAATTTATTATAAATTTAATCACATTTTCATAAATTTGAGAAGAATTACTAAATACTGATAGTACTGATTGAAAAATAAAGTAAAAAAAATTGTGGACTTATTTTTGACTCAACCAGTTACTGATACACTTGTTTGAAATTCACTCTTAGAAATCAGGTATACTCACGTACTTAGGTATTGATTTCTCGGTACTAAAATTGTTACCGCTTGGTATTAAAATTATTCTGGTCTACCCAAATGGTACCTTTAAATATCTAGCTATTGTTACAAAAGATTACTTATATCTGCAAATACCACTTTGGTAGAGTCATATCTACAAATATGACCTTCAAACTAAAAAAATTAAATAAGAAATAAATTTTAAATTCTAATTAAAAAAATGTAATATAATCATCCAGTGATGGAAGCGAAGGACGCATGCTACCCAGAGAACAGACGGGAGGACTGTCACATTGGTGCAGGGGCCACGGAAGAAGTGTGTCACTCGAGGGGCTGTCTCTGGTGTCCAACAAGGCAAGGCGTTCCATGGTGTTACTTTCCACAAAAGGACAAATGCCTTCCCAACAATCAAAGGGAGGACTGTCATCCAGGAGCAGGAGCCACGGAACAAAAATGCCATGAAAGAGGGTGCCTTTGGTGTCCAACTGTAATTGGAGTTCCATGGTGTTACCATGCCAAGTAAAAAGTACAAAAACCAAGTTCAGTACTTGAGAGAAAAATTTACGATCTGCTACATAGATAGTTGATTAAAAAATAAGGGATATTTTAACTACGTGTACTTTTAATTATATAATTAGAACCATTTAGCTTTTCAAGACTGATCAAAGTGTATTTGTATTTCCTGTATGTATAGTAGAATAATGAATAATGAAATCATTTCTGAAAAAATAACTCAATTGCACATATTTCTGAAGTTTTTATTAATTCAATATTGCATGAGTATAAACTGCACTATCAGCATACATGCTTGGTTCCTTATATATGTACATACATAGTTTTCCAACAGCACATAATGTTTTTACATTTTAATCTTAACATACATGAAGTGCAAACATGTACAACTTTAGTCCTGTGAACTGTATACATAGTGTGTTCATATTCATGCATACCTATATACATACATATATGCATATGTAAATAGGTAGTATAGCTAGACGCTGACGTTTGCAGATTTTCCATATGTAAATATTTAACAAAATTTTTCAAAACGTGATTAACAGATTACATATATTCTCGCTCAAAACAATCATCACGATCTTCATCAAATTATTTCTAACTTGTCCAAACGGTCCGACCTCTATAGCCACTGGTCTCAACGATTTGACGACCCTCTTTTCCCACGACCCCTTTCGTACATCCTTTCCCTTTTTAGATAGATACAAGTTTGCCCTTTCGTACACCTTGGCTGCCTCCGGGATCAAAATAAAGACAAAAAATACAGAAATTAAACTGGACAAGGGCACAAACAAATATAGCGCAATTTCCATCCGATCTCGCATCCGTATTGTCCCATAAATGCCCAATACTAGAAAAGAAACCCCAAAGAATACCAACGGCGTGGTGGCAAAATTACCAAAATTTCTATTCACGAATCCAATCCAGACCAATAATTGTCGATAAAGCTGGATCTCACGTGCTGGAAAATTTCTCTCGCTAAACACCACTCGCTTAGAATTTAAAACGCTCAGAACTTGTAGTACTTCGCTAGCCGAGGATACCACAATTAGACCAAGGATAAAGAAAGCATTTACTGCTTGGAACAACACGTTTAAACAAATTATTAAGAAACTAGCTCGAACGAGAAATGCAACCAGTTTGAGCACAAGGGATGAGAAGGACACCATGGAAATTATAATCCGTATGGGCAGGTCAAGGGGATCAGTGCGGAAAACTACGGCGGCCAGGGCAACAAACAACATGGGATAATTAGTCAGACAAAGAATAACTTTCATAGCTTGCACAGAATATAGATTCTACCAGAAGAATCGATCTTATGTATTCGAGTGACGCTTATGGAAGAACGGGGAGAGCCAACCAAATAACGCGGTGTACATTTGGCCCACCTGGGGGATGGCACCTCCGCATCATCATCATCACCACATCTCCTGGCATCAAAAAATGATGATGAAAGCACATAGGTGGCGGTGGCACCCCCATTTGTGCACAAGAACACACCATTCTGAGCTGCGTCTCCACAAATTTGATGCTCTACAAGGGTGTGTTCTGGTGCACAAATCGGGGTGCCACCGCCACCTATGTGCTTTCATCATCATTTTTTGATGCCAGGAGATGTGGTGATGATGATGATGCGGAGGTGCCATCCCCCAGGTGGGCCAAATGTACACCGAGTTATTTGGTTGGCTCTCCCCGTTCTTCCATAAGCATCACTCGAATACATAAGATCGATTCTTCTGGTAGAATCTATATTCTGTGCATAGCTTGTATTAAAATTCTGTAGTCGGGGGGACATTCCATGGAGGACGAACTTGCGCTTATATCTGGAATAAAATCAGAAATATTTGTATTACTGGACATGAAAAAATAAGCCCACCTGCAAGAAATTACTATAAGAAATTGTGTTTGTTGCATCATAGGCATACTTTCTTGCACGAGTGAAAGAAATTCCAGAAATAATAGCCATCTAGCGGAAAATCCATAGAATTACGAAGGGTGTACCGCTAGATGGCGCCTATTTCTTACCTTTTCCGCCATGTATGTATTTCTTCCAGTGACGTGCAATAAATGTGGAAAAGGAAGTAGTCAAGGAATGCTTGATTACGGTAAACAATTCCATAATACATGTTAAATATCGATGATAAAAAATCTAAAAATTTTAAAAACTATTTACAAATATCTTGAGAACTTCATTATCCGAAATTATTTTTTACAAATTCTTCTTTATAGAAAATAAGTTTGAGCTTGTAAGCATGTGTTGAAATACAATAAACCTTATTAAAATATTACCATAAGCAAATTTCTTCAGGTCCACAATCGGATTTATGCTATTTATTATAATTACAGAATTATGAACTATAATGAATGCAATAGATACGAAACAAATATGAAGAACTGTTAAGACTAGAAGGATGTAAATTCGAATAATTTCCAAATTCTGTTCCTGATTTTCAAACCTAAACACATTTTTCCACAACCACCCCTTGTAGCACAAACTCGAGAATTACACGGGAAAAACACCTATTTTCGGACACCGAATTTCGTGATAAACGCGTGTTGATTTGGTGTAAAAGTTGGTGAATTTTGGGGGTAATTGTCGCCAAATTGGGGTGTAAAACTCGTTTAAAACTCGTGTTGTAAACGTAACAAAACCATAAACTAACACGTGGAAAACTCGTTTAATTCACGTTTAAAATTAGATACTATCTCGTGTAATTTTCGTGGTTCCAGATTCTCCATACACGTATTTTATGCTAAATAAACCCAACAATTACACCAATTTTAATTATATAAACCAGCTTTATTTTAATTTAAATTGCTTTATGATTAAAATAAATAACAAAATGATGAAATAGTCCAAGAACTACTCATCTGGTTGGTCATCGGGTTCAGACTCGACCCTTGGGAGTATTCCATCACTATTAAAATATATTATCAATGAATCATTAAGTTTAGATTTAACATAACTATGTAATGTGTAGTTACTTCGGATTGCTCTTCTTCTTCAATCTTTTAGGTGCACCTTTCAAATATTCTTTAATTGTAGTTTCCATCTCGTCATCGGAGACGAGCGTTAATGGTAAACTCGCACGAACCGCATCTAAAAAAATTATACTTCCATTACACTAAATTTCTGTACATATTTACGGTAAGAGCTAATTTACCAAATACAATGTGTCTCATCCACGCATCACAAAACGCGATTTTGCTGCCCCTGGACCCAATCCAGTTGTAATGCTGCATCAATTCGTCCGCACAAAGTCTTGATAACACACGGCGTGTGCAGCTTCCGATATTGCTTACTTTTCTCTGAGTTAATTTTACAATCTGAAATTTAGCATTTAGATTTTGCTAATTATTTAACTGTACATTACATATTTTTAGACGCAACGAATGGATTAAGATTATTTACCAGTGATTCTCGGTTACTTGGGACTGCATAAAAATTAGCAGCATTACTAACATCGACCATATTCTTCAGTGGAATTTCGTGCCGAACTTCATCTTGCGGCTTTCTCTTTCCATCTAAGTTAAGCAATATCGCGTCAAGTGTCTCCTGGATGTTACGATTTTGCGCTTTTAAAATGGCCACATTTCTGACCACCCAACTCTGAAATTGATTTCCTGCGCAAACAAAGACAGTGTTAGCTAACTATGCAGAAATTTTTATTGCTACTTCCCTACCAGAAAGTGAAATTTCGTCTTCACATGAGGACTGGGATGTATTTGTTGCGTCTCCCTCTGGAACTGGTGGTGCAGTTACTGGCTCGTTTTCATTCATAACACCGAGGAAGTGAACCATTTCGGTGGAAGCTGAACATCCAGGAATATCCATGTCCGGTTCCGGATTTCCAGTTTCTGATACTCCGGGCAAAGATGATCCGTTTTCCGTAACTGAAACGTAATAGCATTATTAATTAATGGAAGGTAAATAAATGCTGAGAAATAAACTTTGCCAGTGTAACCCACCTAAACACAATTTAAACGGGATCTTACTGGACTCTTTAATTTTACTGGGCTTTATTTTAGGAATTGATTGTCCTTTAGTTGTGACTTTCTTAGCTGCCGGCGTAATCAAGAGTGACTTCACATTTTTCACTGAAACATTATTTTAAAATAATTAATGGCATGTGTAAATATACAGTCACCTAATATGAAACAATTCTGTAATTATTATTAATTATTATCTCATAACGGTTCTTACTTAAGTTATCATTAGGCGCAGGAGGCGGTGGCAGTGTAGAGTGACAGTCATCCCCTTCACTTTCCGAGCTCTCATATGTATTGGGCGCCTCTTGACGAATTCGAATTTTACCATCGCCACTCCCAACCTCTGCGTCGGACTGGTCCATTACTTTGGGAAGCTTCTTCACCGCCTCATGATAAGTGACTGCGTAATAAAAAAAGTCTCAATAAAAAAGAATTAATCAATATTAAATGAAACTTGAAAGCTTTAATAGCTCACCAAATTTGTGTCCACCACCAAGTAGCTTGACATCATGGGTTGACCAGTTTGACTCGGGGGGCATATGTAGGCCAACAGCTTTCACAATTCTGCTAGGATTTTTGTAATTGGGCCACACGCACTGAGTATTATTCTTACATAACCACGCACTAGTGACTACTTCAATTTCCTCCGTCTCCAAAAATTTGAGTAGCACAAAATGTTCGCTCATGATGATTCAGATAAATGAATAAGGGGCGCACCAAAATATTCTTCACCGTACGGCAACAAAATCACTTTTTTGACGATTTCAGAAATTTTAATGCACTCGACTGGTCCAAGTCTTGATAATAAATAAATATTTATGGTAGATGATTCACAAGGAGTTTTGTAAAAATTAATTTTGTTTTGAAATCGTCGTCCAAGGAAAAATTCTCCTGTCTCTCCCTGTAGAAAAGTATTTATAATAATAACAGCGCCGTCGCCTATCTCACAAGCACTATCACCAGGTCCTCCAGCATTTAATTTAAACACCTGGTGTTGAAATTTCTTGTAAAAAACGGAGCAATTAATATCAAAGTGAGAGTTATGATAAGACCAGGCAGAGTAGAGAAATGGATGGAGTGGAGTGGAGTTGACGTGGTGGTGGGTTTGGTCTTCCCTCTCTAGCAGTCTTCTGTGCACCTGCTGCAAGGGGCAATTCGTAGATCGCACCAGCTTTTTAATTTCTTGCAGTTTATTTTCGAATTTAAAGGCACTAAATTTGTCAAGTTGACCGT